TGTACACCCACGGTAATTAATTCTGTCCCTCGGAAATTTTCACAAAATAAAAAATGACCACCTTTCTATATTAATTGTCACAATCCATGCACGATTAACGTTACGACTGAATCTTATCATGCATGAATAGTGACAATTATTATAGAAAGGAGGTCACTTTTCATTTTGTGAAAATTTCCGAGGGACAGAATTAATTACCGTGGGTGTACTGCAGTTGTTCGGCGGTAAAAGCGAGAATGTCACGTTTTTTTGATAACAATCAGAATAAACATTTTTTGAACGATTACTAGTCACAATAAATGACAAACTGTGTGAAATGCTCGTCTGTTCGCGGTATAAATAGCACGAGACTCTCCCGCGTCGTATCGAAGTCCGCGCACGCGCGTCACGAGAGCGACAAATGCGATTCGTGCAACAATCTCGAACGATAGGAGTATCGAATCTCGATTGGAAGACGCGACTGATGTCGCGTGAAACGGTCAGAGAGAAGTGCAGACACGGCTCTGCGCTACCTAGTACGATTCGTTGCATCATCTGCGGACCCTCCAATTGCGGTAAAACGAATATTTTGTTAAGTTTGATAGAGAGTCCACACGGTCTACGTTTCGAAAATGTTTACGTTTACTCGAAATCTTTGTCTCAACCTAAATATCGATATCTCGAGGAGCTGCTAGAATCGATCGATGATATTGGTTACTACGCGTTCTCTAATAATGGCGACGTTATTCCACCTGGCGAAGCGCTTCCGAACTCGATTTTCGTATTCGACGACGTAGCCTGCGACAAGCAGAATACTATCAGGGAATACTTCGCTATGGGTCGACATGCGAGTATCGATTGTTTTTATCTCTGTCAAACATACGCGAAAATACCAAAGCATCTCATACGCGACAATGCGAATTTTCTAATTCTATTCAAACAAGATGGTACCAATCTGAAACACATTTACAACGATCACGTGAATACCGATATGTCTTATGAAAAATTTTGCACGCTGTGTCATCTGTGGGTGCGTTCCGAGTCGCGCATGAAGCGCGTAGACTGCATAGAAAGTCGTTCCGAGTTAACTATTGCGCGCTTCTAAAGCGCTTCGAGAGTACTTGAATTCCCCAGATTGTACTAACCGTATTGAATTCTTAGCTCTCTATCCAGCGCGTTGACTGCTTCTCTTTCGACTTGAGGCAGTGAAAGCATTTCATGCGTTGATGCAGTCTAAGCAGTTATTAGATAATTCGAAACGCACTCAGATTGCACCGATTGCAGAGCAGTACACCGCGCCGATTCCTACAGATTGAAGTCTGGAAACGCTTATCCGAGTTGTGTTTGCTCGTGTGTTCTATCGCTCTCACGAAAGCATATTTTTGTACAAGATCCTCGGCATCCACGGTCGACATTCACACATATGTACTTGACACACCGTGTTTCCAATAACAAGCTCAAACACAATAATGGATGAAGAACAATTATGTGAATTTCCTGTATATATTGAGGAGAAAAACGAAATAATTACCTTATTTTTAAGCAAAAAAGCTATTGAGAGAGCAACACAAGGTAAAACTCTAATGTGTTTACATAGATTATGATTTACTTTAATAAATTATAATAAGATTAGACACCAGATTAATGATTGTGCTTTTCTTATAGACGAAGCTTTTTTAACCGAACTTATTGCGAAAGAAACAAAACAACAACAAATTAATGAGGTATCAGTAGCACCAGTAGAACATACAGACGAAAATGCTGTCGACAAAAACAATGCAGGTAAATATAAACAGTTTATGGTAATTATACAATTTATATATGCATATATATTTTTGTATATCAATATCTGCAATTAACCTTTTAATTTTATTTAAAAGCATGTATATTCAAGATTAAAAATAATGTAAAAGATCATATTTTGATGATTTAAAAGTTGTTTATTTTTTAAATTAATGCTTTTAGACAAGTCAAAGGTATTTGTATGGCCAGATAAGGCAGTACTTTTGTTATTGGAAATGTACCGAGAAAGAGAAGAAGATTTCTCTACTGGATTAAAGCGTAGCAATAAAATCTGGACTGAAATTGCTGCTGAGATGAAAGAGGCGAATTCTTTATATAAAGTGACAGGTCAGCAATGTGCGTCCAAAATGTCTGGTTTAAAACGGACATATAAAAATATTGCTGACTTAAATAAGAAAAGCGGAAATCATAAAAGTTCGTGGGCTTTTTTTTCGGTAAGAATGTTTTATCATGTATTGTAAAATACCTGGTTTTTATATGCATTTAGTATATTTTATTGCATACATTTTGTTACTATTATTATTATTATATACTATAGGTTATGGATTCAATATTTGGTGATAAAGCTTCAATTAATCCTCCTGCAATTGCGACGAGTGATGGTCAGTGAACCCTTGTAAGGAGTCATCACCAACAACATCATCTACGATTTCATGCTCTGACGTAAAAGGTAAGTACTTGAAAACAACTGCTGCAAAAATAAAATCTTAATTTGTTTCTGATTTCTTACTTTATGTTGTTCTTAAAAATTTTCTCCGGTGGACTAGGTAACAGTTTTATTATAATTTTATATATTAGAACTCTTTCGTGTATTAATAGTACATTGTGTAACATGTATGGTAAGTTGTTTATTGTGCGACGCAGGCGCGGGAGCACGAGCGAAGCGAGTGCGCTCCCCCGCGCCCGTGCCGCACAATAAACAACTGAGCATATGAGTTACATACAGAATTTTTCATTACAAGTGCTCGTCGTAATGTGCCCAATACAGCAACGTTTTTGCGCAGAAGAGTGGGGTTAGAGTAATAACTAAAGCCGTTGAGTTATTGGCTATTTACCGCACGCAAAAGCGTTGAGTTATTGGGCACATTACGTGCACGCGTAATAAAAAAACTTTATGAACACCGGTATTTTTTTGTTGAAAATTATCTCCACTGAGTCGAATAATATATTCTTTAAATGTTATTTACATATTTTTCTTAGTCAAACATGAATAGTCCCAGAAAATTTATTTCGTAAATTTTTAATAAACGGATTACAATGTTTAGCGTAAAAGATTAATATTTTGTAATATATAGTGAGGTTAAAAAGGAATTAGTTGTATTAATAAAGATCTAAAGGTTATATATTTATTATGTACATGTATTAATTTAGTAATGGTCATTTTTACGTCATCGAATACAGGTCCACAGAGTAAGAAAAAACGGGTGGAACACGTTTTGGAAGAATTAGTAGAAAATATAGCCACAGAAATAGAAGAAAAAAAAGAAGAAAGAAAAAGAAGAGAGGCAAAGCACGAAGAAATTCGAGAAGAAAATAGACGAGATCGCGAGAGAAGACATAAGGAGCAAATGGATGTCCAAAAATCTTTAGTATCTATTTTACAACAATTTTTAAAATAAAATATAGTTTCTTGTAGTTTTATAAGAAATAAGATTAAGAAAGCGTTTACTTGCACACTTATTTACTTTTCCAGGCTTCCGAGCCATCACTTAAATAAAAACCTTTTATGGTGTTTTTTATTTTTTTAACAAGAAAGTTTATTGACTTTTAGTTAAAAGTTTTTGATTAAGTTTTGTATTAAAACTATTAATGGTTTGTTCATTTAAAAACTTTTAAAAACTGTTGTATTTAATATAAGTTTAATATGGAACTTGTACATAATTTGAAAAATATTTTTCATAAAATGTTTTATCATTTAATAAAAATAAGTTGTTTATGTTTATGTTAAGAAAATATTGAAAAATGTAAAATATTTTTCTAATGTTTGAAAAATATGTTTCTTTGTGGAGGAGGCTTACAAAATACACAACTTGAATGTTTTGAATAAGATTTTATAATGGAAATAAAACCAAAGATTAAGCAGAAACAAATATCTATTAACCTAAATGTTTATTCATTAAAAAATACAATACAAAATTTTTTATACAAATTCGTTGATAGGTCCTACAAATTTATTTCAAACACGTAACATGATTTTTCAAATTCATTTCTAATAAAATTATAACATTAAAAAATTCTTTTATAATCATACATTTATTTTTATTGGCAAAGCATTCATTATTACTATTCTTTTGGCATTTCCTAAATCAGTGTTATTATCGCGAATTTGGGCCTGATATTCTTCATGATGTTGGATACCGGTAGTCATAACATCATTTTGTAATAAACAAATATTGTGTAAGACAGTACACGCTATAATGAACTCTGGTATCTTTTTAACGTTTGTCAGTGGTAAACAGTCTAATAATATTCTAAAACGTATCTTCAATTGGCCAATCGCCCGTTCAATTGCTATTCTTGTTGAAGATAGACAATAATTAAAATTTTTTTGTTGATTTGTCAAATGTCCATTGTCTCGAAATGGAACCATTACGTTGGGATGAATCGGATATGCTGCATCTCCAATAATATGAGAATTGTTAGGGAAGTACACCTCAGGTCTCTCAAGAAAATATGCCACTGGAGAGTTTTTAAAAACCCGAGCGTCATGTACTGATCCCACTTGACCTGCATAGCAGTGTGTGAAGAGACCCATCGAATCACAAACTACTTGAAGATTGATGGATGGGAAACCTTTCCGGTTTATGTATGAAACTGAATCTGTTGGTGGAGCTCGGATCTTGATATGAGTCCCATCTATAGCACCGATTACATTTGGAAAGCCACTAGCTTCTAAAAATTTATCGCTGATGTTAGTAGCAACAGCTTCATCAGGCCACTGAATGAATCGAGGCGCGATGCAATGCAATGCATAAGTTACACGTTTTACGGCTCTAAAAGCCGTTGCTTTGCCCACTCCAAATTTGACGCAAATGGATCTACAATAAGCCATAATATAAAAAATAAAAAACTGTAACAATATAACGACAGTGGTAGTTACATGCATACAAAACAAAAATAGTTTATACAAATTTTACATACCTATACGAATCAGGAGTAGCCATAAACCACAGAGTAATATACATTTGTTTTTCTGCTGAAATTGGTTTTCTTCCAGTTATGGTATTTGTCTTATTTAGCGCTGGTCCGATTAATGATAAAATAATTTCAAATGTTGCCGGAAACATTCTAAAATGTTAGGTTATGATGCAAATGAAATTAATTTCTCAAAACCAAATAAAAAATATTTTATCTTTATAATTTAATGATATATATATATATATATTGAAATGCTTACCTGAAATGCTCTTTAAATGCAATATTGGAGTAATTAGGAATTACACGATAAACGTAATCTGTAATTTTTTCGGTTGCAATCATTTTTCCACGTGCTTTACTCCCCATTAGTGTACAATACAATGTTTGTATATCCCTTAAGGAAACGTCTTCATCTTCATGTTCACTCTCGCTCGATTGTGAGCTATCACTTTCGACGTTTTTGTTTAAAAATATCAATGAAGTGACCATTGATACTGTAAATCGTTTCTTGACGTTTCGTTCGGCATCCATTTTTAACATTACCACTCAACCCACTGCAGTCCACTCAGCGCATAGCTCGCACAGGAAACCGGTCCGAATTCATAAGCGCTTCATGCGTGTTATGCGCGCATTGAAAAAACGGAACGATTTCAAAGTGTTGTGCATCAGTATTGCAGTCCACGCGCTTCATGCGCGACTCGGAACGCACCCTGTGTTGGCAACGCAAATACGGCTTCGTAGTTATCGACAAGGACAGTGCGTTACATAACGGTAGGTACAGATGTGGCTTCGACGATTTCGCGATACTGTGAATCATGCAGTGTCTATTGTGACGTCGCAACGATATGAACGATACGAAGAAAATCGCCGAACGTGAGCGAACCGCAAAATTGATTGCGAAAACACGTGAGTCGATTCGTAAGAAA